TTCAACCAAAATGCATGGGGACTACACGCTTACACTAAGGTAATATAATTACACTAGGTCTGTAATACTTGACAGTAAAATGCAATACTGCATTTAAAATACAGTGTTCCTTAGGAAATAGTATTTGAAGTATGCCTAACTTTTCAACAAACTTTATTTGCAGGAAAGGAGGAAATAACAAATTAATCAAAATATTTCACCGAGATGGGAAATATGGCTTTTCTGACCCATTAACTTTCAACTCTGTGGTTGAGCTAATAAACCACTACCGGAATGAATCCCTAGCCCAGTATAATCCTAAACTGGATGTAAAATTACTGTATCCAGTATCTAAGTACCAGCAGGTAATTTGGTCTATTCTCTTTGTGTTTCACTTAAATACAGATAAATTACTGCAGACTGGGGGAGTTATTTATCATGAAGAATTTCAGCTCTGTTAATATTTGAAAAAATAAAGTGGGTATAAAAATGGGTGGTCTTTTTTAAAACCAGCTCCACAATTTGTTTATAAATAATTAAAACTTTAAATACTGCCGATACATTATTAAGAAATAAGCATGTTAATAAATATACCACTCATTAATGATGAAATATATAATTTTCAGTATAAAGCTGAACACTTGCAATGCAAATTTTTTTGTCATTAATTTTATTTCTAATTTGCATATCATATCTCCATATTGATAAAAGAGAAGTCACATTTACCATGTAACTATCTGGTCATTTTTAAGCAGTTTTATCCTGAAAATCTGTGCAATATAATTGTTTCTTTACGGAATATCTTTCCTTATGCTCATCATCCCAGGATCAAGTTGTAAAAGAGGATAGCATTGAAGCAGTGGGAAAGAAATTACATGAATATAATACCCAGTTTCAAGAAAAAAGCCGAGAATATGACAGACTCTATGAAGACTACACAAGAACATCTCAGGTGAGCTAGATTTGAAACCAAAGGGACAGTAGAAGACTGCTGTAGATTTAGAAGAATATTACTGTAAATTCATACTGCCATCTTCCTCCATCCTCCTCCCTTCCACCACCACTACCATTGCCCAAAAGAGGAAACATATCTGATGTGCTCACTCAGTATAGTAAAATTGCTTGCTCGTGTTTGAATAGTCACCACCTGTAACCTAACCCTGTGCTCGTCTGACACCCGCATCCAGAGCAAGCACAGAACTGTCTTGATTTACCAACACTTCTGCATACTGACCTCATCAAGTTGAGTTAAGGTTTTCAAGACACATCTGCAGGGAAGCATTGTATTTTATTACTAGTTTTTTAAGTGTCTGGTTTCACCTATGCAGGGTGGAGTGTTGACATGTGTAGATACAGTGCAGGAATGAAAAGCTGCCTCTGTCCTTCTTACATCTTAATAAACTATTGGACAATTCTTGAAGTGCAAGTCAATTTGTGCTGTTTTACAGCCTCAGAATCAAGACTGCTTCTTAAAATGTTCAGGAAATACACCTCAAAATAATTGAAGAAAGATGGAGGAGTGCAGGCAACTTGAACTTAAAATACTTAGCTATCGACTAGCTATGCAGGGGCAGGAGGATAGATAAGATGACCTCTTGAGACCTGTCCAGCCCAATATCTTATACCTTTATTTCAGAAAGCCAGATGTACTTCTAAGGACATTAGTTGGTAAAAAGGGCCAAGTGAATCACAAATAAAACTTATTTATACAAAACAAAGGTTGTAGCTAGCTCTTTGTCTAGCAGTTTTTCTTTCTTGGAAAACCTCCTCGTGGAAAGCCTCATCATGGTAGCCTTTTGTACAGGCCTGTTTTCTCTGTTTTGTAAGGCTCTGCAGAGAGAATGTGTTCTGGTAAAGGGATATTGAAGTCATTCTGTTACAAATACTGAAGCGTTTCTGTGATACAAGCCAATAAATCATCCCCTCTTTGTTAACAACTGTAATAACAATTATTTTATTTTCAGGAAATTCAAATGAAAAGAACAGCTATTGAAGCATTTAATGAAACAATAAAAATATTTGAAGAGCAGTGCCGGACGCAAGAAAGATACAGTAAGGAATACATTGAAAAATTTAAACGGGAAGGAAATGAAAAAGAAATACAAAGGTCAGTGTTTATATTTTAAATTGTATGATTTTGAAGAAAGAAACAATGCCAAATATAGATCTGCCTAAAGCTAAAGCAAGTTGGCAAGTTTAAAGTTGTTCAAGGCACAGCAAGCCTCAAATGGGGTAGATGTGAACTTGCAAAATGTGTACCTATATCTAGAGAAATAATCTGTTCTCTTAAATGTCTACATGAGAAAATAGCAGATATAAAGTCATGAGTAAGACTTCATCAGGCTATAACCTACCACATTATTCCATTCAGAATTATGCACAACTATGAAAAACTGAAGTCTCGAATAAGTGAAATTGTGGACAGCAGGCGTAGATTAGAAGAGGATTTAAAGAAGCAAGCAGCTGAATATAGAGAGATAGACAAGCGTATGAACAGCATTAAGCCAGACCTCATACAGCTGAGGAAGACAAGAGATCAGTACTTAATGTGAGTATCATTATTAATTAGCAAAACTTTTTTTACAAGGTTTATTTTTATTGGCATCCAACTTCTGTGACTAGCAAGTAATTTTATTTGCAATTATTGTCCAGGTGGCTGACTCAAAAAGGTGTTCGGCAAAAGAAGCTAAATGAATGGCTTGGAAATGAAAATACAGAAGAGTGAGTATTAAAAGATTTAAATATTACTGGTACTTCAAGTCATCTTACACAAAAGTGAGATAAAGCATATTTAATTCCAGGACCACACAGAGGAAATCTCAAGCCTAACTATCCAGTAATAATGCACTCTGTTAACACATGGCAGCCTACGTAATGCAAGTATTAGAAAAGACTCTGTGTCACCCCACTACTCTGCCATTATTCATGGAAGTGCATAATCAAGTTACTATAGCAAAGCACTGGAATTGTCTTTATTCTTACCAGATTATAAGGTGTTAGTATCTTGTAGAAATGTCATATGGATAGATAAATTGTTCAGAAGGTCTCTTAGGCATGGGTAGGCTGTTTCCAAATTTCAAGCGTTGGTACTATGGTGCTATCTAGTATAGTGGTACCCACATCAATATATCGCATTACTATTGGAGATGATAAAATTGTGTATGCTGAAGATTGGTCCTTCTTTGGTTGTGTGGTCTGGTTATTTTTTCTGGAAATGGCAGGACAGTATCCTGTCATTTCAGCAATTTAGTTTAGTATAAGTTCTGACAGGGGCTTGGCTACTGAATACATTTCACTTCATTCCTGGGAAAAAAGCAAAAAGCACCCAGGTGGTGCAAATGTAGACCAAATTTAAACAAAAGCAAGCCACAAAATAATATCAAAAGTGTAGTAACAGTGAAGAATGAACAACTAGAAAAACAAAATTGTCTAAATAATATTCATATCAACCTTTTCTGCTGATGTAGTTTCCTGTACATGCATTTTACACTGTCTGGCTGAACATACAGCAAAAGCAGCACACTGACAATGACTGTTTTGTGGATTTACATTCTAGCTTTGTCCACATTAGTGGTCTATTTTAATTTGGCTTGGTTTACTGAGTCTCCTACTATTATCATGGAAATTGTGCATCTCTGCTACAGCTGCATTGGTAGAAGCAGGGGATAAAAATGGCATACACATACACACAAAGCCATGTTGTTCACTCAGTCTTAGCACAGCTCAAAGATGATATGATGGAGAATATATAGACACCTGTTTCCAGTGGTACTCCACCAGTGAAATAGTAGACAAAGAAAAATGCCAGGTCATGGTTTTAACATAGCATCAAAATAGTAAGTGAAACTGTTTAAAGAAAATCTTCCTTTTCTCTCACTCTGTGACTCTCCTTGCCAGTGAGTCTGGTAAGTGCTCAGGTTTCTGCTGAAAAATTAAACTTTCAGATATGACTTTTTTCTAAAGTTGTAAAGCAGAAAAAATCAGTATAATGAGCAGCAGTAAAAATAGGAATCCCTTTCTATAGGTGCTGGTTGAAACTAGAGCCACTGCTGAATGCATTTGAATATCTTGCAGGACAAAGGAGTATGATGGAATAAGGGAGATAG